TTCTTTCTTTCTTTCTTTCTTTCTTTCTTTCTTTCTTTCTTTCTTTCTTTCTTTCTCTCTCTCTTTCTTCTCTCTCCTTCTTTCTTTCTTTCCTTCCTTTCTATCTCTTTAATAATTTATTTTATGTGTATAAATCTTTTGCTTGCCTATGAGCTATATTCCCAGCCCCACACCTTTGTGAGACAGCACAAGAATTAAGTCTTTTTTGCAGAAAACTTCTATCTTCACAGAGAGCACGTGCCAGATTGAAGATTTGTACATTAACATATCTTTAGATAACTTCTGCTCCCTCAAAAGTCTAATCCACCCTTACTAGATAGGCTTACTTCAGTTCAGGCAGATAGCAATGTGACCTTAGGCACTGGAAGGCTAGGCATAGGATAGCCTGGGCTTCCTGGGTTTCTTGGTTTCTTGGGTATGACTTACTCTGCTGATACTTTGTGGGTGTAGACATCCAGTGTTCATCATGTGTGGATAAAGCCAGAGTCCAGGCATATTCTCAACATTTTGTTTGATTTGGAGGGAACAGGGTCTTCCTTAACCTGTCCCTGGCTAGCCTGGAACCTACAGTGCAGACCAGCTTAATACACAAAACAGTTCTCTTGCCTCAGCCTCCTGGGTGCTGGGATTAAAAGTGTGTACACCACCATGCCCAGGATGGCTTGTTCCTGAATTCATAAATGATCTTGGTTACACCACCTCATAAAATACTTGTACATCATTGGAAAGCTTGTTCCCCCAGCTGCCCACTCATTTTCCATTTCCAGTCATAAATATTTGGTAAAACCATACATATTTGGTAAGGAGGGGATGGTCCCTCAGGCAGGACGATTGGGCCCTCCTACAATCCTAAACACTCACAAATCCAAGGCAGCTGGATTGTTGAAAGTTCAGGCCAGCTTGGGCTACATTGCCAGGGGTAAAAATGAATTCAACTTCAATGAGCTTTTGATTCACTTGACGAAGGACGGTGGGCGTTCTGACTACAGAGTGCCAGACAGAAAGCCAGGTAGGAAACATGGGGACGATGTTCTTGGTTCTTGGTTGTTGTTGGTTTTTGTTTTGTTTAAATTTTATTTGTTTATTACTTATTTATGTTCTCTCCTCTTCCTCCCTCTCCCCCTCCCCCACCTCTCTCATGTGTTTACAACTTTAGGGAGTCAGTTCTCTCCTTCCACTGTATGGGTCCCAAGGATTGTACATAGATTGTAAGCCTGATGGCACACACCCTGACTCACTAAGCCACCTCACTGCCCATGATTTCCATTTTTGGAAACAACCAAATGCAACATTGGTCTACAGTGGTTGGCATTTTTAGTGAAGAGCAACCAAGGCCATTTTCAATTCATATGACTCTTTCCCTCCTCTAGAAATAGGAGACAATGCCAGCAGACCTATGTGCCCCTGTTTCTATGACACTGAAGATAAATGGAAATAATGACAACATTTCAGAATAATGTTTGCTCAGGGCTGGAGAGATGGCTCAGCAGTTAGGAGCACTGACCACTCTTCCAGAGGACCTGAGTTCAATTCCTAGCAGCTACATGGTGGCTCACAACCATCTGTAATGGGATCTGATGCCTTCTTCTGGTGTCTCTGAAGACAGCTACAGTGTGCTCATATCCATAAAATAAGTAAATCTTTAAAAAAAAATGAGAATGTTTGCTCAAAATGACAACATTCAGTCAGAATCTGCTGTTGCTCAACCGCATAAGCAACTGGCAGAAGTATGTGATTTATCTTCCTGAGAATGGTTTTCCAAAACTTAACAGCTTATATTTAGGCGACAATCAGTATGAGACCAGGTAGTTTCTTTGGTTATCTTTTTGCATAACAGATAAAATAAGCAATGGTGATTGCAATTTGTACATCAAGAATCCATTAAAATTTTTCATACATTACTAAAAAATTTAAACTATTGCTAAGAGTTCTCATATACAAGTTCAAAGCCAGAATAGACTACATGAAATGCAACTCTCAAAAATAAATAAATGAAAGAAAGGAAGGAAGGAAAGAAAATCGATATTAGAATGTGACTTCCAACTCCCCGGGGAAGCACTGTAACAGCTGCAAAAGGACGGTAGGTGGCGCTGCTCCTTTTAAATAAATTTACAATCGACACAGAACATGATCCGCTAAGTAGACCCTTTAATCAAAACAATAAACCACATTCTGCAACTGTGGCCTCTCCTCTCCTTTAGAATAGTTTGGAGGCTTTAAAATTAGACCCAGGAGAAAAATCACAAACTGTATGGTTAAGCAATTTGTTAAAAGATCAGGGAAGTTATTATACTGTGAAGAACAGTTTCTAAAGGGAAGATGGAGTCCACCTCTTCACTCTTCACCTCCATTTAGAATGAAAGAAGATTGAATGTTGAAACCTTCTGAACCCTCACTTACCCACAGCTTTATACGTCAGGTTACGTCACAGAAACGTTGGATATTTAAAGTTCGCATAGGAGAAAAAGATTGTCCTCTAGGTTCTCAATTTTTACTTAGACACTGTCTGTCATCTTAGCTTTAGCTCACACCTTTATACTTAGGAAAAAAATACCCAGTAGGGTGTTATAAAATTATAAGTGCTTGCCAAGCTGGGTCATAGTTTTCAACATTGTTAACATTCCAGGCAAAATCTCGCCTAAAATCAAAGCCATTTGGAAAAATGTGTTTTAAACCTAAAATAAAATTACGGAGTCATAATTTTTTTTCAGACACTTTCAAAAGTCTTCAAGGAAGCAGCTGTTTTACAGTCGCAGTAGTTTCTCTCTGGCACCAGAAAAGAAGACCACTTACTTTTGAAGTGACATATATATTTTAGGCTTTCAAATTTGCTAAATAAACAATTCCGGTTTTAATTTTAAAAATGATTTTATTTATTTACTCACTTAGGGTGTCATGGTGAGGCACTTGTGGAAATCAAGAGAACTTTCCCGAGTCGGATTTCTCCTTCAACTCCAGGGATCAAACTCCTTTAGCCGGTAAGTGTCCTTATCTGTTGAGTCGTCTTATCGATAGACCCGTTCTGGTTTTTGCTTGTTTTTTGTTTTGGTTTTTTTTCCCCAAGAGGTAAAAAGTTTAAAATATAAAACTAACTCTATCATGTACGTAAATAAATGCGGGTGCGGGGATTCTTTAGTAATACTCTAAGCTGTCGGACTGTAATCCGAAAATAGAAAAAAAAAAAAAAGCAAGCAACCAGTAACTTCTCCGATCAAACTGGAACTTTCAGATCTGTTTTTATCAAGACCACCTTTAGGAATATTTTGGATGGTGAAAGAGATAATTTTTTCGCTGTCGTTTTGGCTCGTTGGGTCGTCTATTTCGATAGTTGCTCTCCCGATGCGCAGAGAGCCCCTTTAAAACTCGGAGACACTGAGAACAGATAGACCCCGACTATAAGCCCATTTTGAACCACTTAAATTATTTTAAATTTTCTGCTTTTAAATGTTAATTCTAAAGCCACTTACCTAACTGTCTTTGCAAATTTACCTTTTGAAAAATAACTGCACACCAAAAGTCGGAAAAAACCGGGTGAAATGAACAGTGTTTCCTGAATGTGAACAAACATACACGGTTTAGCTAGAAAGATGAATTACCTCAAAAAGAGACAGTAAAAAAAAAAAAAAAACGAGAGAAGAACCTTTTCACCCTTGGCCCACAGAGTCGGGGAGAAAGGGTGCCTGTCAGGATCATGCATTCATATCTATTATTTTTGATGGCATGGAACCGATCGGTGGAGACCAAACGTGAGTGCTGTGCTGAATGTGAATAATTCGATTGTTAAAAGAAAAACAAAAAACAGTTTTAAACGTTGAGATTTGTTAGAAAGGGCAATGGAGGCTAGGACAAGTAACTAGTCAAGCCACCCAAACAGATTCACCAGCTTTTTAGGGACCAGCTGTCCAGTTGGTGAGGTCTGTCTTCTTGTTTCAATACTTTGCTTTTTAAGAGTAGGTTGATCATACGCGGACTGAGACGAGAGAATGGAGGGAAGGCAGGGAGGATGGATGACCAAACCGTAGGACAAGAGGGTCGGATAAAGGAAGAACGGGTGGACGCTTTTCACCTTGACTCCCGAGCTAGCAGAAAGCAGCAGGGACCGGGCAGGCGGAGCAAAAGAGGCTGCAAGCGGGCCCCGGGCACGTGGGGCGTGGCGAGGGCGTGGACTGTCGAGCCTTGGCCGCCCAGCCTCCGCTAGCCCGCAGGTATAAGAGACGCGATACCCCGCCCTCGGTGAGCTCTTCGGCGCTCCAAGTCGGTAGTCGCAGCGGTGGCCAGGGCGGGCCGTAGGGTTGGTCCGCCAAGGGATGCTCTCTCCGAAGCACCGAGGCCAGCCCCGCTCTCCCAAAGCCGCTGCCGCTCCGCACCAGCCCTCGGCCGCCGACATGGCCCTGTATTGCGGCGACAACTTCGTATACTCACAGCCCGCCGCCGCTGCCTCGCCCGGTGCGCCCTCGACCTCCAGGGCACCCTATGGGCTGTCCGACTACGCCGCACCGCCCGCTGCAGCCGCCAACCCCTACCTGTGGCTCAACGGGCCTGGCGTGGGCGGCCCGGCCTCCGCTGCCAGCTACCTAGGGGCCCCGCCGCCCCCCGGAGCGGCGCCCGGACCCTTCCTGCAGCCGCCAGCATCTCCGGGCACCTTCGCGGGCGCCCAGCGGGGCTTCGCGCAGCCTTCGGCGGCTGCACCGGCCTCGCCCGCCGGCTCGGCAGCCCCTGGTGAGCTGGGTTGGCTGTCGATGGCCAGCCGCGAGGACCTGATGAAGATGGTGCGGCCACCCTACTCGTACTCGGCGCTCATCGCTATGGCCATCCAGAGCGCGCCTGAGCGCAAGCTCACCCTCAGCCACATCTACCAGTTTGTCGCCGATAACTTCCCTTTCTACCAGCGCAGCAAGGCTGGCTGGCAGAACTCCATCCGCCACAACCTATCACTCAACGACTGCTTTAAGAAGGTGCCCCGCGACGAGGACGACCCAGGTGAGGATGGTCGGGCAGGTGCTTTCCGGCCGCGAAACTGCGCACCTACAGGTGCTGAGAGCCGGAGCCCAGTATCCGGTCTGTGCGCGGCGGGGTTGAAAATCTACGTGGGGCCGTCTCATTTCTAGAGGGGGAGAACATGTGGGGATAGAGCCACCCAAACCTGGTCTGATAGGGATGCCGGAAATATCAGATCTTCACCAGGAGGATATGGTCCCTCACACTCTGGGCAGAAGCTAGCTAAACCAAAAAGTTCATACCCTCTATCAGGAGGCCGCTGCAAGGAACAAGTTAGTGGAAGATAGGTCGAACAGGGAAAGGGACTCTCAGAAGCAGGGTGTTATCAAAGATGAAAGAGAACACTGGGCCTCATTTCCTCCTTTGAATTCCTAAGGATCTCACTTAGTGTGGGGCAACTGAGGTTTGGGTAAGTTAAGATGAGCACCCCGAATCGGCTTCCCTCTAGTCTAAATCCTATACCTTGAGTGAAGAAGACTGCAAGGATCTGTGTTCTGAGTTTTCCCTTTACCTGGCAGAGGGAGGTGGAAGTGGAGTGAAGCTTACAAAGAAACAGATTCTTGCTTGAGGCTTCTTGAATGAACTCAGAGCGTCTTTTGTTGTTGTACTGGGGGATGGAACCCAGGGCCTCAGATATGCAAAGGATTAGCTCTACCACTGAATTACATTACTCCTTGTAGAAGTCACTCGGAGCAGTTTTGCAGTGCTGATACTATATAGTGCAAACTACATTTAAAAAGTTAATGTGATTAGGCATACCTTATCATTTAGGAGGCAGAGTCTGGAGGATCGAGAGTTCAAGGTCAGTTTCATAGCCTTTCTCTTAACTCTCACATCCTGTGTATGTTTTACAACACATTTTAATTTGGACACATCTCAAGTATCTTGATAGCCATTTTTGCACAGTGGTGACACTTGTACAGGACGTGCAGTTTTTGAAGATGTAGCTTCCTGACTTAGACTCTAAATCACCCAAGATTATTAGGATTATTGTCATGAGTATTCTTTTGAACTTTAAAAAGTTCAAAACTATTGTATCTGGAGAAGCTTAAAAAAAAAACACCAAATGAAGTGGGAATTTCAGGATACATCAGGACTCAATGGCTTGAACCAAGTATTTGGAGGTAAGGAGTGGAGCTCAAAATACAGCACTTGCCTGGTATATTGAGATCTTGGGTTTACTCCCTTGCACTGGGAGAGGAGGAAGTAAAGATACTGATACCAAGATGGCTCAGTATAGACTTGTCAAGATAGTTACAGACGTTCTCTCTCTCTCTCTCTCTCTCTCTCTCTCTCTCTCTCTCT